ATGTGACTTACTGAATTTAGTATTCACATTTCAAAGGTGATATACATGCCACAATATTTCTACAACAGAAATAAATCCAATAATACAAAAAATAAAAATCACAAATTAAATATTTTGAATTAAATCTAATTTTTCCCTTAGATTAACCTGCAATGCCTTTGAATACAAGCAATAAAACTGCACATGCATCCAACCGTCTTTCTTTGACCAACCCCATATTTAGAGCTTGACACTCAGACTGCACACTCTGCGTGTCATTCTCTTTGGTTCAATCTCCATGAAGACTTTCTGCAGCGCATCAAAAGTGTGTCTGAGCTCACAGCCGGTCCAAGACTTCGATGCGAGGGAGCATTAATGGCTGACTACAAAGTCGAAAAATGGGGTTTGATGTGACGTCACGCTGTCACGTGACAAGAAAACCTAAAGTGAACCCTAGGTAAACCTAAGTGAAAATATCATTTATTTTGAATTGTTTTATTTAATTTTATCCAGGGGGAGTGTCGTTTGCTTTGAAACAAACTGGAAATATCAAATTCAAAACGGAAACCACAATTTTTCATTCAACCAATTTAAAAATGCACTTTGAAGGAATGACAAAGTCTTTTCACTTTTTTCAGTGTGGAATACATTACCTGCAGAACTGAAGGGAGAGTCTAATTGGGTCCTTTTTAAACATAAACGTAAAGACTTTTTATTGAGAGGTCAAACATGTGAGCATTAATAATCTAACTGACCTGATCTTGTATCTGTTATGTTTTAGTGTGTAATTTGTTCTGTTGTGCCTTGTGTACAGTCACTGTATTTTGTGTAAAAGCCTAACTGGGGACAGGCATTGAGAATTAGCCTTAGCTAAAATGTTGGAGTGTGTGAAATGATTCATGAAACATACTTGTCCCTATCAAATATGCAAACTCCATGCAGAAAAACCCTGGGCTGGGAATCAAACCCAGAACCTTCTTGCTGCAAAGCAGCAGTGCTACCCACTGCACCACTGAGCAGGACAAGTTATACATCATTAATGATCAAATGAACCTTTATTTATTATTCTCATTTTGAAGAGAGACTTGTTATATGAGATGTTGTCAACAAGATGGTTTAAACCAGAAGTAATGTAATTGGCATTTTCATAATTGACAAAAATGGGAAGGAAAACAGCTAAAACAGATTTCATGTGAATGCATTTATTCTCTAACCTTTCTTGCAAGCTGTATTCTGACGGTACTTGTGTGTTTACAAATACACAGGAATTCATTTTGTTTATGTACCGAAGTATTATGGAGTACGTCAGGATATTCAGCTATGAAGAAAGCAAGAAGTTCTACAGATATGGACATACTAAAGCGTAAATTAACTGCTTGGGAACATGAATTGTAGGTTAAAACTTTGGGCAGTTGTTCTACCTACTTGGCAAAACCGAAACAGCAGAAAATGCCTACCTCACATATGGGTAAATACAGTTAGTTGCAACAGAATACAAAAAAAAAAAAAAAACAAAAAAAAAAAACGTAGTAACGGACAATTGATAAAATCTTGTTTAGGAAAATTTAACTTTATTTCACATTTGGATATCAACCAAAAAAAAACAAAAAACGTAAAAGGCAATAGCAGGCATCAATGAATGCTATTAAACTCAACACAATTAAAACACGAAATGTACGCAAAATAATTAACACTAATGAATAATATTGAACAACATAAAACATAAAACCCAGTCTAGACATAAATATGAGATGAAAAGATGAATAAATGTGTTACTAATAATCAGCCACTTTAATCTGACCCATTATCATACCATTGACATACTTAGTTGTTGCAGATTTTCAACACTACAATAACAACATTAAAAATCTTAGCAGTAGCTGGCATAATTCTAAGACAGGAAACAATGGGGTGCACATTGGAGAATTATTTTAGAAGAAATTCCTTCATTTAGAAGTGACTGAAAGACTGTATTGATTCCAGCAACCGCTGCTAGTAGAATGTATTGTTTCATCCAGGAATTTTGAGGCAAATGATTCACAGTCGTTTTAATATTAACTTGTTACACCTTAAAGGCCTGATTGCACTTCAAACAGCAGGTGTTTGCCCAACACCCTGAATGCGGATGCATTCTTCCAAGGAACTATTTATATTTTGCAATAAATCAATAATTATTTGACCATGAAATGTGCCAATGATGTGCTGGCAATCATTTGCAAAGCATGTAATTTTGATCATGTGGCACAATTGCTCAATCAGATTTAATTCATGTATGCATTCCGAACAACATTTCCTGCTGTTTTTTGGTTACAATTTTTAAGTTTACCCAACAAATAATTGTGTTTTCAATTCATAATATTCTTTTTGCTGCTGTAGACTCCAGATTTTCTCCATAATGGGAAAATAAAGGGATTTTACATTCTATTCTGTTTTATTCAAATGATACAGCTCACGTAGTTGAAAAGTGAGGGATACAGACATCAATTCTGTGTGTGCCCCAAAACTGGATTAAGGTTGACAGGTTTTTACGTGGAGATCATAACCAAGCCTTTTTAATAATCACTGTCAGTTCATGAAGAAACAGAGGATGTGCAAGGGTTAAGCTGCATCAAGAGAAACTACAGTTTTGGTTCTTAAGCATCTGTTTTTAACTCCACTGATACACATACATTAAAGCTACAGTGTGTAATAATTACAGGGATATACAGTCAGAAATGTAATCTATTATACATAACTATGTTATTTATCATCATCTACGAGCTCAGCCTCTTAATCTTGATATTTGCATTGCCTTAGAATTCGTTATTTAGAATTACATAGGA